GTGAAAACTTGGCATATCTAGGCACTGTGTGTCCTTCAAAACTGGACAAGTGGAGGACAAATGAAGAAGTATCAGGTGTGGAAGAAAAAACAACTGTCTATAGACCTGACACAGGACCAGAGAGATTCATCTACTGCTCACTGAAGCCTCATCAGAAATGGTCTTAGACAGAATTTGAAACCTTTGGTTCAAATCATCATCATCATGTACAAAGGAGTTCAACAGTGAGTATCTACAGCCATCTGTAAAACACAGTGGAGGCTCTGCCATGGTTTGGAGCTGCGTGTCAGCAAAAGACACTGCAAATGCAGCAAAAACATACCTGGATAGAAAAACACAGAATGGAACACCATCAGTCATGGTTTGGCCTCCCGAGAGCTCAGACTGCAACATTGTTGAAGCAGTGTGGGGATTATCTCCAAAGAGAACAGGACTAAATGCAGCCAGCAGTCACAGAAGAGCTTTGAATGTCCTTCAAGAGGTCTGTAGAACTATAAGTAAGTATAAGAGTAAGAAATGCCTGAGCTTGCCTAAGAGAATTCACTGTGGGCTGAAGAATAAAGGTGATCATACCAAAGCTCCTTAGAATTGTACAAACTTTATTTTTATATAGACTGTATTTCTACATATGTTTGCATGTGTCAGTAAAACCCCTGCACCTTTTTCCAGTTTTTCTTAAAAAAAAAGAAAAGAAATGATGAGTAGGGCTCAAGACTTTTGCACAGTGCTGCACAAAACACTGACAGTTCAAAGTGAAATGGTAGAAACAGTGTAAGCATTTTACACAAACACACACAAACCCACAGATTAAAATGCTTTTTCACTGCGGTGGCGATGTCCTTGCAGTTGTTATAGCTTTGAGTGCTGACAACATGAAATCCAAAGACATCCACAAGTTTCAAGGGAGAAAAATGTTGTCGCCATATTAAACATCGCTGTAAACACCAGGATTTAGAATCATAAAATCATGATCGGTCTACATGTACATTATATTGATTACAGGTAAATGACGCCTTTGATTGTATTTTATTATCAATTTGAGGGCTCACGTGCCGCCGTTGTATCGCCGCTGAATTTAGAGGCATATTTTCAGGGTTTGTTTTGGATGCCTTGTAACTTACTGTGACTGATTCGCCAGGTAAGCTCAATGTGTGATTTACTCATTGTTCTCTAACAGAGGGTGTGAACATCTTTGTTTGAGAAACTGAGGCCTTCATAGATTACAGTAGCAGCAGGCTCAGAGGTATTATTAGAGTTGTTGCTGGCTGATTTAGCTACTGCTTAATTAGTCAACAACTACTCTGTAATCACACCACCGCACCATAGCATTTACTGTCCAACGCGGCTCAGGGATGGATCGAGGTATAAAATTTTAATATTATAGCTGTCACGGCGTTCAGAGCAGGAGAAATAAATTGCTCCATTGTTCCCACAAAATTTAAAGCTTAAAGAGATGTTTTCAAACACACACAAAAGTTTCTTAAATGTATTTAAACCTTCTTCCATAGCAAATTTATAATAACAACGCATAAAAATATGAATCATGAGGCTTCACTAAATCCTGCTTGTGTCTCTTAAAGCGACATTGAAACTAAGCAAAGAGATTTTTACTCCATCGGCAGATGAACAGAGTGTTAGTGAGGGTCAAGGACTAAGGTGAGATAGCAGAAAGCAAAAATGTATTTCCAGTGGAGGATGGCAGTGTATGATGTACAGGTCAGTGATTGTTTCACCACAGATATTAAAAGGTCGTTCGCTCACATCTAGAGCTTAGAATAGCAAACACACTGGAAACACTAACCAGACTCTTCCCTTTGTACAAAAAGTGTAAAAAAAAAGGACAAAAAATTGATTAAAACAAGCGAGCTATACAGTAACATGTTATCAGCTGTGTTGGTGTTGCTAGGTTGATTCTTGTAATGCTTCTCAAAGTGCCAGACTGGACTGTTTCCAGGGTTTATGCTGAAATAAGATAACCATCTGCCGGCTTCACCTTCCACTTGAGTGCAGCGAAAGAAATGAAGAAACACAAGAAAGAAAAACATTACTTCCCCAAATCTTCTTTAACTACTTTGATAACTTCCACACGCTACTAACCTAGTACCTCAGACCCACCAGATCCAGATGTTACAGTGTTATATAGTTGAAGTTGGGGTATGATATAAAAATCGCAGACAGATTTTGTATGCCCTGCATCTGCCAATCATCTGTGAATATCCTCTCTCATAGCCAGGATGTGAGTCGTGAAAGCTTTTCTTTTTTTTTTAGCACTGCTGCTTGATTTTGTTGTCGTGGAAATGTGGATCCAGTTTGGGTGCTGGCACTGGTCCGTACCTCCACATCTGTATAATTTGTAGTAGAACTCGACTTTCACGCCTGTCCTCATTTGCCCTCCACTTGCACATTGTCTTCTGCACTTTAATGCAAACTTTCAGTTACCAGACAGGGGGGGGGCAGTAGATGAATATCTGGGGTCATTATGTTTGTGCTTCAATAAATAGGCGCCGTGACATTTATGTTTCGTGCTTGTAGACAATGAGACCGTCGACTCGTCAGAGCTGGCATTTGCATGCGGTGTGAGGAAGTGTCCTGAGAAGTACGACTGCAACGATACCTGGATCGGGCCCAATGACGGCATCACACAGTTCGACAACATCCTGTTTGCTGTTCTCACCGTCTTCCAGTGTATCACCATGGAGGGATGGACGGCTGTCCTCTATAACGTGAGCAGAAGCATTCAGCCTGAAAGTGAACCCTTAAACCCTTAATGCCTAGTGTTTCATATTCAATACACGAGTTTTTGAGACCTCTACATCGTCAGTGTGATCCCTCACCCCCTTGAAGGCTTGAGCACTGCAATGATGCTGAGTGTTTAATAACATAAAAATTATGGATTTCAGACCAACGATGCCTTGGGTATAACGTGGAACTGGATGTACTTCATTCCTCTCATCATTATTGGCTCGTTCTTTGTTTTGAATCTAGTTCTGGGAGTCCTGTCTGGGTAAGTGTGCCTCATTTATGTGAACATTTCTGTCCGTATTATGAGTGAAGACAGCTGCTTTCATATGTTTTATTTTTTCAGAGAATTTGCGAAGGAGAGAGAGAGGGTGGAGAACCGGAGGGCCTTTATGAAACTGCGTCGCCAGCAGCAGGTGGAAAGAGAACTGAATGGCTACCGAGCCTGGATAGACAGGGCAGGTACTGGGCAGCAGAACAACTTTACATCTTTTATTACAGTGAGTGTGGAGAGGCTTCAGTGACTTAATCCTGGATGCTTTGATGAGAAATGCAGCGGCTGATGAACTGAAGAAAAATGCTGAATCAATTAATCGATCTTTTTTTTTTCTTTTTTTCTGGTCGTGGGAGAATTTCTATAACCAATTGTTTCCACGTTGTTATAATACCACTAACAGTTCACTGTGGAATATTTAGTAGTGAGAAAATGTCACAGCTGGACTGGTGAGTGAATGCTTTTGGCAATGTAAGGTTAAAACAAAGTGTTAGCCAGGATTCACTGTTCAGAAATATTCCAGCACGTACCTCCACCACAGTTTTGCTTCGCATAGCTGTTAAACAGAGTGAGCCAGGCTACTGTTTCCCCTTTATGTGCCGATACACTGAGTCTCTTCTTTTAATTGAAATGTAATCGCCCTGTTAAAAGCGACACAGTGATTTCATTACATTTTTGAAGAGAGACTGGTTTGCTGCAGACACCTTCAGACTTTTGGATCCGCAGCAGAGTAGCTGAGTTGAGTTGCAGCAAACACACAGTGCTGTAATGGCAATCTACACTGCTAGTCTCCCACGCAAGCAGAGGGTGAGAAAAAGGTGATACTGACTCATTGACTTAAATTTGTGTGTGCGCTTATATACACGCGCTTCTGTGTGTTTGCATGTGCGTGTGTGTGTGTGTGTGTGTGAGAGAGAGAGAGAGAGAGAGAGAGAGAGAAAGAGAGTCGCTGTGCATCTGCAGTCATGTGTGCACGGGTGTGGGAGAGTGTGGGAAGAGGGGGAGAAAAGAGAGCGAGATATTGCGAGATTGTGAGCGAGAAAAGGAGCTCTGTCTTTAAGAAGGTCACACCGGCCTCTCAGTGCAGTGTTTACATCAGTTTGGCCTCGGTTACAATGGGGGATATGACTCTGAAATGTGGGTTTTAGCTGCGGCTTGATTAAAAACAAATATTTCTGCATGTAACCTTCAGTTTTACTGTATTACAGAGGAGGTGATGCTTGCAGAGGAGAATAAAAGTTCAGGGAGATCACCGTTAGATGGTAAGTTCACATACTTTGCCCTTAGAATTATCTACATATACAGAGCGCATCAAAAAGAATCATCAGATTCTGAAAGGTTATATTTTTTTTAAGTAATGGCCAAAGAAGCTCGCAGTAAATTTAAAAATACATGGCCAAATATAAATGTTTACATTTAAAACTTAGCAGTGCTCAATGTGTCCCCCTCCTGAGGCACGACATATGTACGAATGATAGTCCCATACTTTTGCGAGCAAATCTGAAGTCACTGCAGCCGCTGCTACCTACCGGCGACCCCATGAAACTCACGAATCCCCTCTAACAGTAGGTGTTTCGACAGGTGTAGGTGAACAGCTGTGGAATGAAAGCACTTTAAAATACACCGTGTATTTGTGGTGTTTGATACTGCAAATTTTGGTATTGCTCCGATACCAAGTAAATACAGGGCCAGTGCTGCCGATACCAATTCCAATGCTTTTAACTTAGAAACAGGAGAGCAGTGTGTTAATATTATTATGATGAATCATCACCAATTTTCATATTGTTAACACATTTAATGACCACTAAATCAGTGTGATCTTTATTTTTCACAATAATTAGTTAATATAATAAACCACTTTTCAGCTTTTTATGTATTATGAAACATTTTGTTTATTTGTTTTGGAGACCTGTAATGGAAATGTGGCTGCCTCTAAAGCACTTTGGATCATCCTCTGTTGTTTAAATGTGCTATGGGCTATAAATAAAATAGACCTGACAGCCAAACATTTTTTTTTGGTATATTTTTTCATTTCCAAAACAAAATAGTTTATTTAACACAATTCAGTGGGCTGTTTACTGAAGTTAGAGGATGGAAACAAAGTATCAGTATCGCTCCATTACCAAAACCAGCGTCTGTATTGATACTATCGCTATTGTATCAATCTCACACTTCTACCATGGATATCTCATACATATATCTCCTAACCTGTAATGACTACTCAGACCTTAAACATGACTCAATATTTTATTGATAACCTGGAGGTGACCATTGCAACTAAGCTTATATTAATGTTATATCTGTTTAATGGGTTAAAAAATACAGTTTATTGTCTTGGCAACTGTCCATGGATGTTAGCGAGGGAAATGCCTGATTTTAATGAGTTGTATTACAGGCACAGCTGTTACTGTTATGTTATTTATGCGGACCTTTAGTGTGACAGCAGAAGTCACCATTTCACCCGTTGTTTTCATTTTCATTTCTGATGTAAAGTTAGCAAAGTTGAGGTTTTGGTAAAGTTGAACTTGTGTGAAACATCTTTAGTGCTGAAGAGATCAAGTAAGAAGACGGGTGCGCGGCGAGGAGCACCGGGGGATGAGAAGTATACAGACATGTCTACCGCCAGTGAGTGAAGCTCAGTTACTCACTGTCTTTACAGTAGGCTTATTCCTCCTTCCTTTACAGGATATCACCTGTGTCTGAGCTCTTGAGTTACTTATATACTGTATCTTTCACATGCATATGACTAACTCGAAAATTCCCCCGCCTCCCTCTGTAAAAACTCTCTCCTTTCTTATTCTCCCTCTTTCTCCTTCAGGCATGTCACGATCGAGGATGAATTTCCGCAGCGGCCGCCGCGGCCCCGCTGCCTACTTGCGACGTAAGGAGCGCATGTTGCGCATCTCGATCCGCCGCATGGTGAAGACAGACACTTTCTACTTGATGGTGCTCAGTCTGGTGGCTCTCAACACCATCTGTGTGGCCATTGTCCACCACAATCAACCCGACTGGCTCACCGTCTTCCTCTGTGGGTTTCTTTTGTGAATGTCTGTGCTGTTTGCTATTTTTTTTTTTTAAATCAAAAAAGCGAAATCAGGTCAGAAAATACCTTCTTTCTGGCTGCACCCTGCTTCATTCTGCTTTCTGACTTTTGCTTTTTTTCCCCCCTCTTTAATCTCCAGACTATGCAGAGTTTGTTTTCCTGGGGCTGTTTCTGGCTGAGATGTTTTTGAAAATGTATGGTCTGGGTTTCCGGCTGTACTTCCACTCATCTTTCAACTGTTTCGACTGTGGGGTGAGGTCCTTCATCTCCTTTTCTCACTCTGTGCTAGAATATATGCATTTCTTGTGCTAAATGAAGACTAGGCTACTTAACGTCAGGGATACAATTTCTTATTACTTGAATAGATTATATAAACCAAAGTGAACCATCTTTACCAAGAACAAAGGGAGGACTGGACTTTATACACACAGTGGGCTGATTAGAAATATAATAATCAACACAGGTAAAAATAAAGAAGGGACTAAAACTGACAGGAAGTAAAACTGAGCAAGAAAACCAACTTTCAAAGTAAATTAGAACATAAGCGAGAGAACTGATGGCAAACCAAAAAGAGGATTTCTACATTGCTGCACAGGTGAAGCATACAGAGCTTGATTTTTTCCTTCTGACATGTTTTGCAGGTTATTGTCGGCAGCATCTTTGAGGTGGTGTGGGGTTTCTTCAGGCCTGGCATGTCATTCGGCATCAGTGTGCTCAGGGCGCTGAGACTTCTGAGGATTTTCAAGATCACAAAGTAAGTGGGGCAGCAGGACAGTTCACAGAGAAAGTAAGTCATGACAGCCTGGGTTGCACGATGGTTGTTGAATTTTTATACGTTCCAGCTGACAAAAAAAACAACTAAACAAAAAACCCTAGAGCGTGCATTATTTTATTTTTATTTTTTTCCAGATACTGGGCCTCTCTCAGGAATTTGGTGGTGTCCCTCATGAGCTCCATGAAGTCCATTATCAGCCTGCTTTTCCTTCTCTTCCTCTTCACTGTGGTGTTTGCTCTGCTGGGGATGCAGCTGTTTGGAGGGAGGTGCGTACTGACATCCTTAATTGTCAGTGAACTCAGCCAAATCGGTTTTCCTTTTGATTTCAATAATAATGGCACAGTTTTGAAAAACGGTATCTGCTTCCTAAGATCTAAACAGCAGTTTCCTCAATGGTGTCCTAAAATAAGAGGAGAGGAAGCGATATGTCCAGATGAAAATAGCTCTGCATCCTCCTCCTCCTCTCCTTCCTCCTCCTCCCATTCTTCCTTGGTCATATCTGACCCTGCTTTCTATCTGCCTCCCCTCTAGGTTCATCTTTGAAGATTACACTCCCACCAACTTTGACACGTTTCCAGCTGCCATCATGACAGTGTTTCAGGTTTGGCTCCCACAGATCCCCTCATTTCTGCCTGCTCTCCATGACACATTGCACCCTGGGATATTTCTCACCCCAGGCGCAGATTAAACAACTCTGCTCGCTCGCTCGCTCGCCACCCCCTGCCTCCGCCATCATCCCACACATCCATGCACACATATGCGCACATGAATATCAGACAAGGGAAATGTGGAAAAAGTCCACATCGTATCTGCTACACATCCGCTGCACTGTAAAAGAGTGTTTTGATCAGCCGACGCTGTAATTATTGCCTTGCTGCCATTTTAATACTATACTTTGAACTGGTTGGTAGACAGTGACTTTGTCTCCTGTGCAGTGAATCTGATGTGAGCAATGTGCAAAATATTCTGTGAATTTGCCCACAGATTTTGACCGGCGAGGACTGGAACGAGGTGATGTATAATGGGATCCGCTCGCAGGGAGGCGTTCAGTACGGCATGTGGTCATCCATCTACTTCATAGTGCTCACATTGTTTGGAAATTGTATCCTTGTTGACCTCAAAAGTGGTCAGAGAGCGCTGATAGAAAGCGTGATGCCTATAAGTGGTGGAAGTATTTTAGATAAAAATAGCGACATACCCGAGTGTTAAAATGCTTAATATCAACAGAAGTACGCCGAGTCAAACTAGTATAAAAATGTTGTATCAAAAGTAAAATCTTTAGCAGAATATCCTCCGTCATCAGTAACATTAATGCAAGATGAGCAAAGTGTAAATACATGTCTCACCAGCCACTGGCCAACAGCTCGTTAACACAAATACCTAATCAGTCAATCATATGGTCAACATGACCTGCTGAAGTTCAAACAGCACCAGCATGGGGAAGAAGTGTCATGTAAGTGACTTTGAACGTAGCGTAAGAGCGAATATGTCAGTTTAAGGTGTCGTTCGTTGTGGTCTTTATTGGTAAATGCAATTAAAATAGATTTGTAGGTGAGTAAAAGGTGAAAGGAAAGTATACAAGTGGCTGATTAATGACCAAACATACCTACACCAGATCACAGCAAGTACAGTAAGGGTCAAAGGTGAGTCAGCGGCTGGGTGGAGAAGGATCAAAACAGAAATTTATATTTGACACCAGAGAGCGTCTTTGGATGGAAACAAGTGAGCGATATTTAGTGCTTTGGTGACATGACGGCATTTGATTTCGCGCTTTGCTTCGGTAGTCCTGAAGAGCAAGCTAACGGACATTCATGCGGTCGCCTAAAATCTTTTGAATATGATTTTTATTTGTACTTTTTGGCGTTTTTGTCCTTGACCGACATTACGACAGACACGCTGCTGAATGTCTTCTTGGCCATTGCCGTGGATAATCTGGCCAATGCACAGGAATTGACAAAGGTTTGCACTGTTTTTAAAGTTTCTGTTGTATGTGACACACGTTCTGCTGTTAACCGCTCTTCGATTGCGGGCGTGGTCTTCTTCTTTAGGATGAAGAGGAGGAAGAAGAGTTCTTCAACCAGAGATACGCCAGAGGAAGAGACGGCCTGATAGCTGAGTAAGTTACTGGTTGACATCTAACAAAAAAATCCACGTTTAAGATCAGATAACCACAGTCTTCACAGCTCTTAAGTAACTGAATTTGAAATTGGACTGAAACTCTCTCACAGTTCCTCATTCTCAGTCATTTTTTACTGTTTTTCCAAGTCATTTTCCAAGAAGTGAAATGAAGCTAATACTTAAGATATGAATGCTGTGGGGAAACTGATGGTTCCTCATCTTACTCTATTAGAGGGGAGATGTGTTAAAGTCAGATTAAAATAAGTCAAGATCATTTATTTCCACCATGAGAAGAAGTTGTAGGTGTAAGTGTCAAATGTTTAAAACAGTATGTTCCTTATTTCTTCAGCTGCGCGGTGAATGCAAGGTAGAAAGGCATGTTTAACGTACTGATGCCAAAATTATGAATGTAAATTGAATGTGCCTGATTTAAAAGCATGAGTCATTTCCGACTCTCCGAGCTGCATAACTGAAACTCCTGTGACTGCCTTGGCTTGTGATTGGTTATGGTCAGCCTCTTTTGTTAATCAGAGGGGTAATTCTTCACTGATTTCCTTGCTCCTTTCTGCGACCTGGCGGCTTTCCCACAGGTCTAATTATCCCATAAGTTTGGGAGGAGAAGGGCGGGAGGTATACTTCAAAGGTTGTCGGGAACAGTGGGAAGTCTGAATGTGTGACTCTACTGGGAGGAGGCACACTTTGGAGTGGGCCTGATTTTGACCAAGTTTGCCTGATTAGTGTGACTCCGGCTCATCAGAATTTCCACTGTGACAATGACATTTTTTTTTTGGAGGGCATAAAGATGTTACGTAACATCTGGGTGTCCCGCAGAGGCACATTAAACCTCTCACTGAGAACACTGACCTGGCTAGATTATGGCTGCACCTGTCCTTCCTGTGTTTTACACCTCAGACCTTTTTCACAGCAGATTTTCACTGTATTCGCAGGAAATGCACAGCTGCATTCAGGAAATCTAATGATGGCTGATTTCTTCTTGAGGAGAGTATTGCGCTCTGAATTAGCATACTGGGACATTTAATGGGCCACCACTAACATTTGAACTATGACAAGTCAAAATGGCTGCTGTGAAAAGGGTCCATTAACTACAAATGTTACTAAGTCAGATTTTCCTGACCATATATAATTAGAGATTGATAAATGTGTTTTACCTTCTTCCCAAGTAGGCTTTTATTTATGGCGCAATAAGAAAATCAACTTGCAGAGGCTCAAAGCTTCTTTTTTACAGATTAGTTTTATTCAACTGTTAATGTCTTCTTGTAGTCGTTAAAATACTATTATACAGTAATGTTGAATAAAATGACTCTGTTGGTGCTTTTAGGCTTTGGTTTTAAAGTACAAATGTAGCAAACGTCCAAGAGTAGACAGTACTGTGCAAATGTCGTGAGCCACATCTCGTTTCTCTATATTTTGCTTCCAAGGAACCAGACTTTCATGTAAGTTTTTAAAGTGGTTTTGAGCAATAGTTCTCTAAGCTTTCTAAATGTCTTCCAAAGTGTTTCTTTGGAAAATGGCTGCTTTTTCACCAGTTTTCAATCTAGCCCTTGTACCTGACCATTTTTAGAGGATTAAGTTTTTTTTTGGTTTTTTTGTTTGTTTTTTTATTTGGTTTTATTTTTGAGTTACTTACTCTGCATGATTAAAGCATAAAATGCACCTAACTCAAGGGGCAAACCAGCGTAGTGTTTATACATAACAGACATAAAACAGTTTAAAATTTAATCTTAAACTATTATTTGTTTGACAGTTTGACAGACATAAAATAGCATTTTTCCACCAGCAAGGTGATTTCCAGAGAACTAGTAGCTGAAAACTTGCCATGTCTCAACATGGTGTGCAGTGTGTCCTTAAAAAAAACTGAAGAAACTGGACAAGTGAAGAAGAAGAAGAAGTGGAAGGCCTAAAAAAAAGGCTGTGGTATTCCCAATAAGAAGTGCATGGAAAATCAGTGGCAACAGGTTTTATGAAGCACTTATATAATACAAATTCAAATCAATATGTATGGTGAGATCAAGACACTGAGCATCTACAGCAGGGGTCTCCAACTCCAGTCCTCGAGAGCTACTGTCCTGCAGCTTTTAGATGTATCCTTGTTCCAACACACCTGAATCAAAGGAATGGCTTGTTACCAAGCATTGCCAAACTTGATGGCATGCTGAACAGGTAATTCAACCTTTTGATTCTGCTGTGTTGAAGTAGGCATGGATCTAAAAGCTGCTGGACAGTAGCTCTCGAGGACTGGAGTTAGAGACCCCTGGTCTACAGCCATCAGTAAAACATGGTGGAGGCTCTGTCATGGTTTTGGGCTACATTTCATCTTCGTCCAGCATCCTGCATTATCTGGAAAGCATCTAAATGGCAACACCTTACTGCTGAAATTGAAAAATTTGAATTGAAATGTATGCGTAGAGGAGGTCAGAACAGAGGTAAAGCAGTTGAGGCTCTGTCATGGTTTGGGGTGCATTTTAACCAATGCTGTTGGCTTGAGAACTATTCCTGAAGACTACTTAGGCAGGTTTTCTTCTCATTTCTCTAAGAGAGTTCAGGTTCTGTTGAAGAATAAAAATGGTCATACCAAATACTGACTTTCACCTTGTTTCAATTATATAAACCAAATTTAAACAAATAAAGGGTCACTCAGTATTTTTCTAAAAAAATGTAACAAAAAAAACGTATTAAATATTATTCTTTAGAGCTAGGGCAGAATGATGGGGAAAAAAATCCCTCTGAACTTCTAATATGAGCTTGTCTATTTTAGCTACTTCCAGTCAAGTCAAATCAGAAACCGTTCAGCCAGGTTCCCCTAAAAAATAAAGAATTTGTTATTAGTGAATTAGAGAACAGACGCTGTGAAACAAAGAGTAGTAAAGGATATCAAAACAGTAGCAACTCTAGCATGCCATGCACATATTGTAAAATACTACTGTCCACAAACAGCTGAGGCTGTACTTCTTTTTGCTGCTGTTCAGCAAAACACAAGGGAGCACCGAGGGGTGTGGCTGATGCTCCCATTTGTTTTAATTTTAAATGACGGTGCTATATTGCGACACCACCAAAGTCTCTGCAAGCTGATTTGATACCATATGGATCAGAACTAGCTGCTGCCTGCACACCTGATCTACTCTGATCACCAGAAAAACATGACAAAAATCCCCAAAGCGATGCGATGTCAGGACACGCCTGCATAAACTCTCTCTTACTGGTCTCGGACTCTAGCTGTGACACTGAATGTATCATTTGTCTGTTACATATTTGAATGTTAGTCTCGTAAGTGCTGCAACAATCGAGGTGCTGATTTGATGTGTATTACAGTGTTCTTCTGGCTCCATCATGTTGTCTTGTTATATGCTTGTTACGCGGCACTGACCAAAATGTTGTGTTCGATCATATCAATCGATCATCAGCCATAAAGATCTTTGAATTTTGAATATATTTAATGTAAAACGCCCAAAAGTATACAGCGGCCTTGAATGCAAAGTGTGCATTATGATAAATTAAATGCTAACTTCAGTCCTCTTTTGGATTAAATTGCAATTACAGTTTGTTTCCTCTGGACGCGTTTTGTTCGGTGCCACAGCAAATGTTCTGTGTATGTTGTTAAACACTAATGTCTTGTTTTCAAATAATCACTCATTGATTACATGGACAACAAAAGAATCTGAATACCAGTAAGTATAACTGTATGCATCTCTGTCACACAGAATTTCTCTCTTGAGTTTTCGTACTCAATTTCCCGTAGATGTTACACAATGTTTGCACCTTGATCCTGCACCCTTCGTTTTTGTTCTCGTGGGTTTTTGTTTTTCTCTTTTACTTTCGATATGTCCTTACTTCTCAGGCATTGTTTGAGTTTTTTGGATGCCTTTGTATTTTTTGCACATTTTTTTTTTCATGGGAATTTTTTTTGTGTGTGTTACTAATCAACTAACATTATAAATTCACAGAAAAGGTCTGTCCTTTTCTTGCAACCTTTATTTTACTTGTTTGTTTTTTAAAATATATTATTGGTATGCTAAATGAATACTAGTGTTCATGTCTTTTTTGGTCACTAATTCCTTAAGATGAATTGCAGAATATTTATTTCGAGTACATTGTGGTCCTCAGTGGCAGAAGAAGACCCTACCTGTATCGGAAACGTGCAATCCACAGGGGGCGGCCTACCTTTCCAGATGAACCGGATGGTGCACTGGCTGCTGCAGACGAGCAGCCCCTAAATGGCTCCAACGCCTTTGCCAACCGCCGCGAGAGGAGGAGAAAAGTTAACATGTCGGTGTGGGAGCAGAGAGCCAACCAGCTGCGCAAACGGCGCCAAATGGCGAGCAGAGAGGAGCTGTTTAGCAGCCCTACAGAAGACACCGTCGAAACCCCTACCATTCCCCATCACCCCTCCAACCTTTCCCCAGAGGCCAGCCCAGCTCACCTACCTGAATCACCGATGTCGGTGGGGATGCCTCTTCCCGAACCTCCAATGTCCATCTCTATTCCCATGCCGGAGCCTCCAGCAGCTGAACCTCTGGTAAACCTCAGCGAGGAGAAGACAGGAGGACCAAACCACCGGGCGGCAGGTGGTGGCAGACACAGGATGGCCCGAAAGTTCAGGTCCAGTCAGGCGCCAGAAGATGGAGCCCGTCATAGACGCCACCGCCATCGCGAGGCTCGTGTTGAGGCGAAGAGTCTGGACTGTACGCAAACGCCACACGAGGTGCTACATATCAGAAGGTCGCTCAGCCAGGAGAGAAAAGTACTGGATGAAAGAGAAGAAAGGGAAGAAAGGGAGGACAAAGAGAGAGGAGAGGAAGAAGGAAGCTCAGTCCACGATGATGGGACATGCATCGTCAACCCCTATGCAGAAGTTGGAGAAGATTGTATAAGGTAAGCCTGCTCTCATGCATTTCTCGACTGGTGGAAAGAAGCTAAAGTGTTTTAAATTTTAGGTCATTTGCATCATTTTATTTATAGATAATATTTTTACCTTTTATGCTATGCTATGCTTAGAAATAAACACCAAAGGATTACGAAGTAGGACACTCATTCAACAGATGCAACAAGGAAATGTGTATATAGATACCGCAAAGCTGTGGCACAGTTTCTTCATGTCATGGAAAAATTTGTAATGTTACTTCAATTTAAGTTTATTCTGGAGCAGTTAAGCAAAAAGCAAAATTAATTTGTTCTATAGTAATTAATTATATGGTCAAACATTCTCGGAGAGCAGCAACATGGCGTTAATACAGAGCAGACCAGGTGTCAGTGACAACAATAAAGGAAAAGCTGGGGTGGATGTGGGTTGCAAAGAGGATTGCATCAGTAGTGTTGGGAAGGTTACTTTTAAAATGTATTCCACTACAGATTACAGAACACATGCCCCAAAATGTATTTTGGAACGTATTCCATTACGTTACTCAATGAGAGTAACGTATTCTGAATACTTTGGATTACTTAATATATTATCATGCTTTTTACAACTATACGAATGTACTATTGCTGTGTGATTTATTACTTTTACTGAAGGTTACTCTCCATACCAATACCAACTAGATTTTTAAATCTTAATATAAATGAGTAAAAGTAGGTGGACATTAGGTAAGGCTGCGCTTTTAGCCGCGATCTCATATAGAAAACTATTCCACGGCTCCGAACCGTAGTAAAGGGACCTCTGGCTAATATGTCGGGTTCTGTGTCAGGCTCATAACCAAAAACTAGCTTTACTTTGTTGTCTGGGTCAACTTTGCTAGCGTGAGACAGAGAGAGGCGTTGAAAGGCTGCTCCAACGGAACTTATTGTTTCGGAGAAAAACACGAACACGGTGTACAGTCGAGCCAATAGTTTACTTACAACTGGGCTGTCAGGCACTCTTTTTGGCTGCAGTGGTTATTATCATATTTACATGTTTCTATCTCCCGTTTCTGCTCAGTGACAACTCGTACTTTTCCACTCTCCTTTTTCACTGTAATGGAATACAGTTAGTCATATTTTGTACTTTAAATACGTAACGGCGGTACATGTATTTTGTTACTCCCCAACACTGTGCATCAGTTAACTGACGTGGGCTGCTCTTGAGGTGATCTGTTACCACCTGATTTATTAGATTATCATTGTGCTCAGCTGTACTTTGTGATCTGCATGAATTAATGCCATGCTCGGTTTTGGTGTGTTTGTTTTGTTTTGTTTTTTTACAGAGCTGCTGAATGCAGTGCAGATATTCCTGATCCTCCTCAGTGTGAACAGATAGTGGACAGCACCTGGTCAGAGCAGGTTGAGGGTGGCCACTCAGATCAGTATGAGCCACTGTGCCAAAACATCCCAGTGGAGACTGCTTTAGAGGCCACAGAGTTTACTGTGAGTGCTATAGAGTCAGAAAACCGTAAGGCATCCATCAAAGTCAAGTCTCAAGTCATCAAGTCTAACCTGGAAGACAGCGTGACCATCGAAATGTCTGCACAGCCACTTCTGGAGCTCACACCCATGACAGGTAGCACTGTGACCACTTCTCATTGCAGTCCTACTGCTTTGCACAATGCATCACAAAGTGGGATTTAGTATCAGTATCACTGTACCACACTGTGTAGGTGTTCTTGACATCTGATAAAAGTGGCCACTAGTCTTTTTTCCCCCCCTGAATCCACTGTGTTGGTGACTCACATTGTTCTTCCTTTGTCAGCTGTTCATGGACAACTAAAACATTTTTTCTTTGCTCTTATGTGTCTGTCTGGGGTTTAGTGAACAATAAAGAGTTGGAGGCATACCAGTCTGACCAGAATGAAAATGAGGAGGAGACAGAGGAGGAAGAACCTCCAATTCCTCCAAAACCTGTACCTCCAGACAGCATGTTCATCTTCAAGGCCTCCAACCCGTAAGATGTAGCCCAATCTTCCAAATCACTGATTATTTGATGGAATACAGTACTGTGCAGAAGTCTTAAGTCGCCCATCATGTTTTAAAAAGATTTCCGTAGGAAAATGAGGAATGAGTGCAATTATTTAGCGAAACATGAAACATATACCAAAGTGAAAATAGAGCTTGTACAATACAAGTAGTCTTTGTAGTTTATAGTTAAGAGTCAATAAATGGCATTGATGAAAATGAAGCCTCTACCAATCAGATACTTTTCAGATAGTATTTCAGGATGGATCAAAATCTGATGGCACCTTCTGCATTCATGATCCCTTCTCAAACACCACTGAGTGAAAGGCAACCCCAGATCCTCCACCATGTTTTACAGGTTGCCGAAGACACTCACTGATGTACCTCCCTCCCCAGCTCCTTCATGCATATTGACGATGTTGTGAACCAAGACTTTAAAATTTGGATTCATCACTCCATGACACCTGTTGCGACTAATTTTCATCACAGTTCTTGTGTAATTCAACATACAACCGCCTTCTCTCTCCATTTACCTTCCTTAATATTGGGTTATTAACAGCTGCCCGTCCACACAGAGATCTCTGATGAGGCATTTTAAGAAATTACAAGAAAGTTTGGCTCCTTGGAAACAAAAGAAATAAGTGGTGACTCCAGACTTTTGCACAGCATTTTAAATACTTGCTTTCTTCTTGTTTGTAGTAGCAGTAGTTGTTTCTATGCATGCCACTCACGCAGTTATATGCATCTTCTTTGTTGTAATGTAGCATCAGAAGGATTTGTCATTATGTGGTCACTCTCCGCTATTTTGAGATGACCATCCTGCTTGTGATCGTGGCGAGCAGCATTGCACTGGCTGCCGAGGACCCTGTGTGCACTAATTCAGACAGGAACAAGGTGAGCTTAGACAACATCTCTCTTAAAGACTTTGTTTTTTTTATGAAAATGAGATTTACACAATCAAAATGATCATCAAATCACCCTCAGATGTCTTCCAGATGGCCTGAAATGTTCTCATGAAACGGTAGTTCAGTGCAAGTCTTTTAGGTTTGATATCTAGTTGACATAACACTGTGTCAGCAACAATGTGCTGTGACACATTCGCTATCGCGTACATACAAGGTGGCAAGCAGCCTGATAGCTGCGCAGTTTGTTTTTCACGACTTTTCACTCGTCTAAGTAGCATGGAACGTGTCAAGAGTGACCGAATAAGGACATATGAGTAAAATCCACACTGTGCTTGGGTATAAGTCGAGTCAGTCAAGTCAACAAAGGCTGACAAGCGCTCAACAACATCAGGTTAAAACACATAATTTAAGGCATTAAATGAAAAGTAGGCACAAATCCCCATCAACGCGTCATTTTAGATTTTGCACAGTAGCTGCTCTCACTCACCAGTGCCTCTATGGTGGTTAACACCTTCACCTGACATACGGAAAAGCACCAGTTTAAGCCTCAAGGGGTCAAAAGCTTGTGTACTGCTAATGCTCATTCTAAGTCTGTAAAAATGGGAGGATTGCATCAGGATGGGCATCTGGCTTAAAATTTGTTCCATATCAAATATGCGGATCCATCTGCTGGGGGGACCCCTTGGGAAGTGAAGGAGCAGCTGAAAGTACCCGGCTACTTATGCTCACTGGACACTTCATTAGTTACAACTTGCTGCTACTGGGTTGGGTTCAGAACTTCCTTAATTTCCAGTGGCACAGATTCAACAAGGTGCTGGAAACATTCCTCTGAGATTTTGGTCCATATTGACATGATAGCGTCAAACAGTTGCTGGAGACTTGTTAGCTGTACTGCCATTGCATTGCATTGCAAAGGTGCTCTGTTGGATTGAGAACTGGTGACTGTGGAGGCTGTCTGAGTATAGTGGTGTAATTTTCATGTTCAAGAAACCAATTTGAGACAATTTGAGCTTTGTGAGACCAGAAGATGGGTACATTGTGGTGTGAAAGGATTGGCATGGTCGGCAGCAATGGTAGACTGCAGTGCAGGAAAATTTCACACCTTTACACGATCACCGCCAGCTCAGGATGGCAGGATGGCAGGATGGCAGGCCTGCAAGGCAGGATGGATCCATGCTTTGATGTCCGTGCCAATTCTGACCCTACCAGTTAAATGTCACAGCAGAAATCAAGACTCATCAGACCAGACAATGCTTTTCCAGCCTGCACTTTTAATACGAGACAGGATGGATCCATGCTTTCAATTCGCTAATGTCAAATTCTGACCAGGCAACATTTTTCTAATCTTTTTTTGTTCAATTTTAGTAAGTTTGTACGAATTGTAGGGGCACCCGGTGTGGTCTTCTGACCATCTACTTCATTTGCTGACAAATTGTGCATTCAGAAATGTTCTTGCGCATACCTTGGTTGTAACAAATGTAACAAACTTCCTACCTGCCTGAGCGTGTGGCAGGTCTTTTGTGCGTTTCTACAGGAACTGGAGAGGAGGTGTGGCTTATTTTTAACTAACAACACTGACAGCACCTGGGCCCTGAGAGCTCAGTTCCTGGGCGGTTCTTCTCCCCGAGACACCTTTTTGGATTTTGGTTACTCCTTCGTTTGTTCTCTTGCATTAAACAACCTTGCACATGCCATCTCTTCACTCATGCACTCATTTACACCACTGACAGTACTGACCACACAGTTTGTGGTTAGTGTAACTTATTTTCTTGTTAAAAATCAACCATTTTCTTATTGTGTGCATCTCCCTTGTAGTCATTGCTGTGTGCCCCGGTTTGTGACACTGAGCTACTGATTCCTTACTAACAGCTTAAGTTATTCTCCACTGACCTCTGGCATCATTTTTGTCCAGAAAACCAACACTCCCTGGATATTTTCTGTTTCTGACCATTCCCTGTATACCCTAGAGATGATCGTGTGGGAAATCCCATTAAATCAGCAGTCTTTGAACCCAACACAGGTGGTAAAAACCCCAATGCAGTCAGTGGAGCCATCGGAGTGTGTGTTGTGTGGATCTTAGTACTCCTCAAGGTCAACAAAAGAACTTAAAGGGACATTCCACCAGTTATGCACATAAAAATAAGTTTACTTACAGCACTGCTGAGTTTGTAAAAACAGCTTAATAACAATGTTATTAAGATTATTTCTGGAGCCAGTTCTGACCGTTCCACCAATGTGAATTTTGGGGAATGTAGGATCAAGCAGAAGGATTTTGACCCTATGAGTCACTCAGCTGAATGGAATTGTTAAACGACATTACTGGAGCGTCTCCTTGAGGAATATCTGGGCTGGTTAGAGCACCAAACAACACGTGTTTTGTGTGTCAAAGTATGCAAAGTGACCCAGAGCCACACAGAGTAATTAGAATTTCTGTCTATAATTTTCTCAGTTGAGTAATTGAGTTGGTTACCTGGAGCTACACTTTGACACCGCTCACAAATGTACTGATTCATTCTAAGAAGATGTGTCCTGAAGCATTAAGGTGGATGAATCATGCCAGCTTGATGCTAGCAAGTTCATTGCCACTGGCAGGATGGGAAAAATGTAAATTTTATTTACTCTTGAGGCGCTTTACGCGTGGTTGTGTGTACCGTCACTGATACTAAATGCACCTCAGAAAAATCTCAACCTTCTCAACCTCTAGACTGAACTTTTAAAAGTCAATTTTTTTTTCCCTAATTTTGAAATTATCCAGGTCCTCCGATATTTTGATTACGTCTTCACTGGAGTGTTCACCTTTGAAATGATCATCAAGGTAAGTGGCTGAAACATTTTCTCTTCTTTCATCACAATTTCAAAGACTTCACCTTTGCCAGTTTGTAACCCATCCGTGTGGATGTGTGTGTTCGTCCCCCAGATGATAGACCAGGGTCTCATTCTGCACGATGGCTCTTATTTCCGAGACATGTGGAACATGCTGGACTTCATTGTAGTGGTGGGAGCTCTGATTGCTTTTGCTCTAACGTGAGTCACATTACAGTGCTGCCTGTCGATGACTAATGAGCGATTCACTGCAGCAAACAGTTTCTGAGAATACAGTATTGTATTAAACGACTTTCCCTCAAAGACTCGCACATTGCAAGTATGGAGGCATGAGAAGACCGGTACAGCGCGGAGCTCAGATTTAACTGTTTTCTCTGTGTAATTTAGGTGGTGTGGTTAAACATGGGTAGTGTGTGTTGCAGCGTTTTGTTTCTTTACTTTTGAGTGCGAACATTACTAACTAAACTTTTTGTGCTTTTTGTTGTAATGTAGAGAATTGTATGTTATTTTCTCTGTTGTTGATATAGCTGTGATCCTTTGAGCTTTGCTCACAGTGTATCTCTTTTTTTTGCCTTGTTTTTTTTTCTCTGTTGTTCCTGTGGATATTATGACTGTTGGGGCTCCCAGCAATGTGATGGGGTAAAAATTTCAGTCACACTAAATGTAAATGTGTCCCATAAGCCACTCATATTTCTCATGTTTTTATGTCTTCTGATTTGTTGTTTTCTAAATTTAAAAAAAAAAAAAGTATTGTCTGCCTTTTGTCTGTTTGCTTTTGATTTTGTCACATTTTGACCTTTGACTCATACAACAGCAGAGCCTGGCAGGTATCAGGGGGGGAAAAATGCTGATAATGAGTCATTTTGTCTATGAAATCATCGGTTTTGCATGAAAATGAACATAAAACAAAAGATCTGCGAAACACTAAATGCTTGTTTAGTGTTCCAGTATATGCACACACAGCTCATGACAAGGCTAATACAAAGATAATAACATTAATTCTCAGTGTGATCTAACTTTGATAGAAGAAATATTTATTTTAAGCCATGAGTGTCACGATGAGCTGTGTGGCTGGCAGTGGCTGGACCCAAGTGCAGGACTCCGAGACAAAACATTAACTTAAGACGGCAGCTTTATTGACCTGATGATAGAAGATGAGGGTTACACACACACAACAAACGTGGAGGATGCAACAACTGGCAGGGAAAAACACGGGGCTTAAATACATACTGAGGTGATTAGGGAAAACTCAACACATTGACATAGTACACAGACTTTCAAAGTAAAACAGGAAACACAACAGACACAGACTTGACTAGACTACAGCTGACAGAGAACAAAGGGAACACACTGGCAGAAATGACTGTACACTAAACAGAAGTAACACAGAACCACAACCTAAGAACTGGAATACAAGAAATGCTAAGGATCTAAGGAGCTAGAGACAGAAACCAAAACCAAGAGAATCAAAACACATCATGAAATCAAGGATCACCAATACAAACAGAAAAACACTGAGTCCACAGACTCAGGACCGTGACAATGAGCGTGCACAAACTACTAGTGTAATTGAATGAATCTGCAAAAATATTTGATTTAAGGGTTGAAAAAAATAGAAATTATCAAATATTTTACAGCTGAAATCTGTCAAGCTCCAAACATGCACCCTCAAGTTGAATGTTTCCCCATTCGTTTGTGTTTACATTCAGTTTTTACTGTTTTTTTGTTGTTGTTTTTGTACTTGTCTGTGTGCATCATTCTGACTGTACAGCTATGTTTCTCAGTGCTACATTTCCAATGTCAACAGAAACAACAAAGGACGAGACATCAAGACGATAAAGTCCCTCCGAGTTTTGAGAGTCCTGCGGCCCCTTAAAACCATCAAGAGACTTCCTAAACTCAAGGTGTGATGCAGACATCTGCGTACAGTCTGCTGCTCTGTTTTCTGGTGTTGTTGCACCAGTCCTTGACAGATTTTATTTGTCTTTCTCCTGCGCAGGCTGTTTTTGACTGTGTGGTCACATCTCTGAAGAACGTTTTCAACATCCTCATTGTGTACCAGCTCTTCATGTTCATCTTTGCTGTCATAGCAGTGCAGCTTTTTAAGGGGAGGTTCTTCTATTGCACTGACAGCTCCATGAATACAGAGAAGGAATGCCAGTGAGTGAACTCCGCTTCACCCTCGTCTGTTCCTACATTAGTGTTTTTAAAAATATATATACTTTATATATCTGAAACTCCTCCTACACATTGTCACTCAAAATGCACTGGTACTGCCACGCAAGATAATTTTTAATATAAAATATGAATATGAGGAGTCAAGCTCTATAAGAGGTTCAAAGCAGTAAGTTCCTGGAATATGCTTATTCAAGTTAGATTACAAGACTAATACCATCCTTACAGCCATGTGAGGAAGAAAGTTTATACAGGACTCCATGCAGTCCTGTGAAAACACTAAGTATACCATTATTGCTTACGCAGGATTCAAGAGGGTAAGAGGCTCAGATCTCAGATTCTGCAGTGAAATATGAGTCCATCTGTCTAACAGAACTCAACAGCAAAGAAAAGAATAAAGATGTTGCAATCAAAGTCCAGACCTCAATCAGACTAAAATGCTGTAGAGGGACCTTAAGAGAGCTGTGCATAAATGAATACCTGCAAACCTCATCGGACCGCAGCAAAATTCTTCCCCAATAATGTGAAAGTCTGATAAATTCATACAGAAAACAATTACTTCAAGTTATTTCTGCTAAAGGTGTTCTTTCCAGTTCCAGTTTCCAGTTACAACCTAAATGCACTGCTTTTCTGAAGAAATTATTTAAAATTTCATTCTCATTTCGGAGCTGTCTTAACCAGGTTGAAGATGTTATGACTAAGAGTGATTCTGTGTGATATCTTACACCATATATATGGCTTTGTTTTGTTTTGTTTTGGTTTTTTTTGGGGTTTTTTATCTGTGCAGTATTGTTGTGCAAAATCAATATAAATTCTTCTATGGGAGAGTATCACTTGGTTTTAAACTCTTTAAACAACTTTAAGGAAACCTACCCAACAAAATCACAACAGGAAGAAAATAAAACATATAAAACATTTTTAAAAAGGGGAAAAAACACAACTTTTCTGACAGCAGCGTCAATCAGAGAAAATACAAAAAACTTCAAGCCATGACAAAAAAAAAATCCTTCAAATTGAAAGCAATGAAGCAGAAAATTACAAAAAAGGGCCCAAATGTGCAGCTTTGCTTATTTCTTATATAACCTCAGATAGTCTGTCATTATCTGCAGATGCCAGTGAATAGCATGAGAGTAACAGTTGCTTGTAACAAAGGCTTTAATGCTTCTCTTTTTGTTAAAACCGCTGGTCTAATCAGTGAATAAGTGAAATGATGACCTCTGGGCTATTCTATTCCCCACAGAGGCTACTACATTGACTACAGCAGAGACAAAAAGGAGGTGAAGAGGAGAGAGTGGAAGAGACACGAGTTTCACTATGACAACGTCTGCTGGGCTCTGCTCACTCTGTTCACTGTTTCAACTGGAGAGGGGTGGCCTCAGTATGTCTCCTTGCGTGTTTATAGGCTTTAAGCTCAGTTTTTCTCAGCACAAAATTCCTTTCTATAACTTATATGTGCTATAAATGAATCAACCACAGGTAATATGATTTCTTTAAATGTAGGGTCCTGCAGCACTCTACAGATGTTACAGAGGAGAACATGGGGCCGAGTCGGGGGAACCGGATGGAGATGTCAGTTTTCTATGTGGTCTATTTTGTGGTCTTCCCGTTCTTCTTCGTCAACATCTTTGTGGCTCTTATCATCATCACTTTCCAAGAGCAGGGTGACAAGATGATTCAGGAGTGCAGTCTAGAGAAGAATGAGGTACGGAGCTGTGACAGCATTTCACACAAATTCAAGTAATTAGGCATCGTCTTTTCACACATAATGCTCATTTTCTCTCCATCAGAGGGCTTGCATTGACTTTGCCATCAGCGCCAAGCCGATGACCCGCTACATGCCCCAGAACAGACAGACCTTCCAGTACAGACTGTGGCACTTTGTGGCGTCGCCCTCATTTGAGTACACTGTGCTCGTCATGATCGCCCTCAACACTGTTGTTCTCATGATGAAGGTAAGTGGTTCATTCAGTAAATGTGGAACATTATCACAAATCATTTTAGATTGATTTCCCAAAGGCCCAGAAAGACACTGGTTTAATTTCATGCCAGATTTTTTTAAAAATCAACTTGCAGAGTATTGAAACTCAACTGTAAACTCTAAGTAGCCTCAATGAGAAGTGACTTTAAACCTGTGCCACCAAATCAGTCCTTACCCAGGAGACATGGACTCCAAAAGACCTCTGGAGGTATCCTGTGTGTAGATCACATTTATTTTTTTTCTAAAAGATGCCACAGATGCTCAAGCAGACTGGAATCCACAAGCCAAGTCAGCACTCTTTGTCACTTTATGCAAAAAACGTGAGACTGGTCAGATGAGGCCAACTTCTTCGTTTGCTTCATACTCCAGCTTTCACATTCATGCACCCATTGTAGCGCTTTTACGGTGAATGATCAGCACATGCACTTTCTATCATAGCCCAGCTGGCTAAGGTTTTCAGCATTTTTTTGCTGTAGCTGCTCTTCTATGACCTCCACTGCCTCACAGGTTTACCAGTAGTCCTTCATTTTTACCTCACTACATACAAACTGCTGCATAGCGGGAACAGACGAGATCTGGTATTTTGACGGGACGCTGATACTCTTGTCTTGCTGTCACAGTTTTGGCCGTGTTGCTCATATATCGCAGCCTTCCTATTTTTCCTCTGTCAAGAACGGACTATTCTGCAGCTCTTGTAACAAAAAATGCAATTTACGTGGGGGGGTTTTTGTTCTTTTTTTGTGTTGTGGCTGATTGGTTGTACACAGTGTGTAAGTTTGAAGATTTATACCTAAAAGCAGGGACTGTGTTTTTTCCTACAGCTGAAATTTGATGGCTGACTATGAGAGAAAACCTTAGAAGGTTTGCAGCAGACATAAGAGAAGATTTACTTTGTATGGTATTCAGTAAATTGACTTCATTTAATTTCAATTAATTAATAAACAATCGCTTTACAATTGCTTTGGTCAAAGCAGATAGCAGATTACCACAGAAACCGTAGTTTACATGGAAGAGCTGAGCTGAGCAAATGCTGAGTTGTCTGCAAATACTTGCAAAGTACTCACAGAGCGGTCGTGAAACTGCAGAAAGCACAATGCAAACATTAGATTTCAAAGTAAAAGTTGCACCTTTGGAAACGTATTGGTTGCAGCGGTAAGCCACAAACTACAAACTACCAAATAAATCTCAAGGAAGTTTTACGTGCAGCAACCACTCTCCAACCAGCTGAGGATTACACATTTTTTCCTGGCAGCCAGAGGTTGCTAGGGGGTTGCCGGCCGGTGTCTGTTTAACAGAAAATAATTGCAACAGTCCCCCACGCTTTATTTATCTAGTTATTGCCAAATCAAGATGTTTAACGAGTTTCTGAGATTGA